TCTGATGAATAATACTGATGATCAGTAATATTTTAGGAGTCATTGCATTAGTTCTACACAGAGACAGCAAATTCTGAATATCTGATAAATGATGAGCAGTGTCTGTCTGCTTACTTAGACTGAGCTCCACGAATCAGGAGCTGCCTGATTTGATTGTACTCTAAGGACCTAGCACAGAGTTTGGCACATTACAAGCTCTTCATAGATGCTTGCTGAGTGAATTTAGGAAAAAGAAGGAAGGTAAGACGACATTGAAAATTTTAACTTAATACTCCAACGTGACTGTGTTATGGATATGCCCAAGGAGGAAACGTGAGAGGAACATTAATCCCTTTTACACAGAGGAGAACCACATCTATTGGCCCTTCCAGTTGAGGGGCAGCTCTCAGAACCACTTACCTGAAGATGTCTGGGACTTAGAGGTAGTGAACACCATGCTTGAGGACATTCTATTCCTAACATCAGGTTCCTGGTCGAGTATTGTCATTATCACCTGTCTGTTTTCCACTGGCCACTCCAGGACAGCGTCATTCTCCCCACTGCACAGGTGAAAAGCAAGCCCTAAGTAGCCAGAGCTAACGGAGTTACTTCTACCATGAGGGTACAAGGTCAACCCCAAACCATATCCCTCTGAATTGTAGAATCGAGGGCTCAGTTTGCGGTCCCCTTTAACTGTGTTCTGAAGAAACTGGGAGAAATTCCGTACTGTCCAAACCCCTGTGGGGCATGGGGTTTCCGTCAGAGTGACATCATCCAGGTAAATCCCTCCAGTTGAGTTCTGGGGGTCACCTTTTGTGCCCTGGAAAACGTAGCGAAACTTCCTTTCCTCTCTGAGTGTCACATGGGCAATTTTCCAATTTTGGTCAAAATCTCCTGAGGACAGAGAATGAGATTGGTGACAATTGTGGCCAACATTTATTGTGCACTAACTATGAGCTTGGTATTGTGCCAATTACTTTACATGAATTATCTCTTTCAAACCTCACAACAAACCTATGAGATAGACACTGTTATAAACTGGTTACGGAACTTTTCCAAAGTCACGTATCTAATAAGGGAAAGTAACTGCAAAAAGACACGGTACGATTTATTTTTAAATTTACATTTAAATTTTAATCATGAATTTCTTTTCCATTATTTTCAATTTCACAGGTTCAGGGTTTACCCCTGGCTTTGATGGTATAAATACACCCCACCTTCTAATATTAGCACTGAATATCCAATGTTAGGCTGAACCTTAAAAAAAGAGTCATTTTGTAATCCAAAATTAAAATAGTGGCAATTTAATATGATCCAACCTGTGACTTGACACCAGAGCGATATATGGGAGGCTCTAGAGCAGATGATAACGTACAGCAGAAGCTGGACCCCTATGCAAAAACGACTCAATCTCTAACATCCAATGTTTTTTCCTCTTCCTCATACTCTCTGAAATTATACCAAGTAGGGTGTAATACGTAAATGATTATAATGAAGTTACTATACAAAAATGGCTTATTTCTCATCAACTTCACAAGTAGGTTCTAAGTTACTTCGGGATATTATATAAGGGTATCATTCGGTTTCCTGAAACAGGTGCAAAAGCACTTTGGGTGAACTATTGAGCCACTCTCTCTCCAGCAGCACCAATTCCTGCTTCCCTTTTACCTTCCAATCTCCACGCCTGAATCACCTATTTTTCTCTGTCTAAAGTTCTAGTAAAAATTGAGCTTATATATTCTGATTAGCCTCTCACAAAAGTATATCTCAGCTTCACCTAAACCCTTGATGCTGCTTCTAATTTCTGAGTGGTTAACACATTCATTGAGTGGTTAAAACATGCCAGACATTATGATAAGCATTAGAAGAGGAGGAATGGAGGTAAAGAAAAAGGGAGGAAGAGAAGAAGGGGACGAGTCGGAGGAGGAGGAGAAGGAATGAAGAGAGGGGAAGGAGGAGGAGGAGAAATATCATGATCTCAAATTTTAAGCTCAGTCAGCCCTTTCATGAATGCCTCTAGGTACCTTGAAAGGTCTTCACCTTGACCAGCTTGCGAACATTGCCCGTGCTGTCATCCCTCCTGACCCAGATGACAAGTCTATCTGAAGGGCTTCCTGTCATTTTATAGAAAAACTGCAGGCACTGCTGCTTCCTCTTTGGGTAAAGAATCCGAGACTCCAGCAGGGCTGCCTCCTCTGACAGCCCCGAGCTGGTGTTGAAGTGCATGAAGTAGCCGGCACCTATGGAGAGAGCACCCATTATCCCATCGCTGGCTGCCCACACCCCAGGGCACCCTCTACCCCCGCGAAGTGATAGAGTGAACAACAGCCATTATCCAGGCAACAGAAGCTAGAACTCTTCTGAGGAAAATAAAAAGAAGGTTGTTTGTCAGTAAACATCCTGCCTCCATGAACAGACTCACTGGCTCAAGCCACAGCTCTCCACTGCTTCTTTTGATTGACTTTGTTCCCAAGTATGTGAAATGTATACCTCTGACTAAGGAAATAATGAGCTTTAAGCAAAGTGGGATGGAATTAAGTGTCTGTGAGATGACTTCTGTTTTCCTTATTGACTTCATTGCTTAAATACGAAGTCCATTCCAAGGAAGAGAGCTGGCCTCCTAGGTGTATAAGAAACAGTGGCATTCAAAGCTTTAGGAACTGGATTTTAAATATTCACAAGGTTAAGGGTTCGATTTCACCTGCGTCTGGCCTAATAACTGGGTGTGTTTATCAGTGATAAAGAATCATCTTTACTGTGTCTTACGGAGGGGCATTCAAGGTATATTAGGGGCTAATGGAGGATTTCTCCCAAATGAAAAGAAAGCTTTCAAAGAACACTGAAAAAGAGGGGGGAAAGTGTCTACATTTGTGCCAGAGCTGGGGTTTGCCCAACTCAGATATCTCAACATTCTCTCTCCCAAAACAAGCAGGTGGCTAAACAAATATGTCACTTGGAAAGCCAGCACACTTTTCAGAGTCAAATGCAATGAACGGTTCTTGTATATAAGGAAGTCATTTAGGGCAGCCGGTTGGCTCAGCTGGTTAGAGCATGGTGCTCATAACACCAAGGCTGCCAGTTCAATTCCCACATGGGCCAGTGAGCTGCACCCTCCACAACTACATTGAAAACAGCGGCTTGACTTGGAGCTAAGGGTTCTGGAAAAAAAACCACTGTTCTCCAATAAAATTTAAAAAAAAAAAAGAAGCCATTTAGCTATACTCCAGAACTCCACTTCTTACCAAATTCTTCACTCAGAACATCCCACAAAGTAAAAATGAAGTGAGCATCTAGAAGAGTTCTAGGTACTGAGGCAATAGGATTCCCTGCTTCGTCCTGCCTCCCACATGGGGCAGGTACCTTTTATATTAGCAGCAAGCATGGGTGTTTAAATAAGCTTTCTATCAAGCTTAAAAATATTGTAATGGCTTTAATATTATATCAGGACTTTTTATATTTTCTTGTGTGTTCTTTGCAGTTCTTGAACTGCCTAGTCTGAGACCTCTGCATTCCAAATCATCGAGTGCTTGCATTTAGAAAAACAAGAGCTCACGCAGCTAAGAAGGTCTCACACGTGATCCTTGCATGGGAATTCCGCTCAGGTGTTCTCTGAATTGTGAAATGAAAAGTCCCATAACTCAGGCCTGGGTGTCAGGAGGCCCGAATTGCGGCCCTGGCTCTGCCACTAGCTAGGTGTCTATTCATCACTCTGGGTTTCAGTTGAAAGACGGCTTCTATCCTCCAAGCTTTTCCAGTCTATGCATCTACCTGAGTAACGCCACTGCTCTCTATAACACGGTTCCAATAAGTGCCTCCTGCAGAAGAAGCATAATGGTTGGTCCAGTTCACCTGATAAAGCTTTTCTAGATACGCGTTCTGGGGCGTGGTCCTTTCCTTTCCTATTAAGGTGCTAGAACATTCTTTTAGCAGTTTCCTATCACATGAAGATCACCTTTCTGTTTAGCTGGAAATTGTATATTAGCCAAGCAGCAAGCCCACAGAAAAGACTTACCTAGAGGCTACGATGGAAATTTGGCAAGAACTTCAGGGTAGATCATTGCCCTTTGGCTACTTAAGATTATGTGTTTAATAATCTGATGTGTGACAGAGACTTTCACCCTTTGCCAAGGCCAGAGGAATCGTGGCAATGGCTTGCGACTCTGACATTTTCCCTGGTGGCCTCGCATCTGGGTGACAGACAAGCTGGGTCCCTTTTGTGAAGGAAATCTAACCAACTCTCACACAGGCATAGACCAAGGGACTTCATAATAGCCCAGTCCTTAAAAAGTGATTATAATCTATAACTCCATCAGCTTCCAGATAGGGTTGAGGTTATTTCATTGACAGGCACTTAATAAAAAGATGCTAGGCAAGGAAAAAAAAAAAATATATATATATAGTTATTGATTTATATGGAATCTCTGGGAAAAAAGGGAAGATGGAAAAAAATAGGGAGTGAAGCTGCTTGTCTGCAACTGGAAGTTCTGTATGTGTTATCTCCTTCCATTTGACTGTGAAGCATCAACATCTTGATGGTCAGAAAGGCTTACAGGAAAGCAAAGACTTTAAAAAAACACAATTTCCTGTGGTCATAATTACCCAGTGGTGAAGCCATATTTTACATCTGGGTCTGTTTGACTTTATAGCTTTTTCACACATAAACCATATATAGGAACTATCTGAAGATGCACCATTCAATATGGTGGCTACCAAATACATATGGCAATTGAGCACTGGAACTGTGGCCCGTCCAAACTGAGATGTGCTGTCACGGTAAAATACACAGCAGATTTCAAATACTTAATGTAAAAAAGTGTGATGTATTTCATTAATAATTTTTATATTGATTACACATTGAAATGTTAACACTTTGGATATATTGGATTAAATAAAATATACCATTAAGAGGGACTTTCCCTCATTTCTTTTTTATGTGACTATTAGAAAAATTTATATTATATATGTGGCTGCATTATAGTTCTTTTGGAGGGCAATGCTCTAGGGACATTACCTTTACTTGCAAAGTCATATCTTATCAACTATATCAGTTTGTCATCACTTAAATGACTATTTCTTTTGCATGTCCAGAACCTGGATGCTTTTTACTGAGTTAGTAATAAAGATAAGAGCAATGCTCTTTGTCCTCATTCAGAATTTCAGGCTTGATAATTAACATCCCAGCTGAGGCAAAACATGCTGGTTGCCATTTCCAATTGAACCTGATGAACCACCTCAGTGTATTTACTTTCCGCCTTCACTGACCTGTGCATTTTCCCACCAAGGTGTGATCCACTTGCCCAGGCTGAGCGCTGTTCTCATGGAGCCAGTCTGCGTCATCTCTGGTACCCTGAATCATCCCACAGATGTTTGCCTTCTCAAAAGCACAGTGGTCCAAAAGGGTGTGAGTTGTGGCTGTAAATGACATTGTTGTCACCTGGTTAAACATTTAAGGCATCTCATTCCAAATACCTAATGTCTTAGGCTACTAAGACCTCATTGTTCAGATGCAGTAGGATCATGAGTCTTTCACTTTCTTAACTTTTTCTCAAATGCAAATCCTACTGTCTTCACTAGGTTTTTGAACTTGTCAACATAGATGCAGCCCTACTCACTGCACAGAGTCATAGTCACATGATGAAAAAGCCTATCATCATGCTTTGCAAAAAAACGCCAACCACAACTTCTTTAGAGCAACAATGAGGCACTTACAATACTGGGCTTTGTACTTAGTATATCTTTCTGTACATACCCACGGACAACCTCCCTGGGTAAAGAATTTTGCAGGATACAAAATATTTTCAAGCCTATCATCTATCTTGAGGTTTACATAACAATGCACTCTTCAAAAGGAAGATAAAGCAGTTGGAGTATTACAGCTCCTTAAATTGCTCTAAAACTTTCACTTTACAAAACACAAATTGATTTGCATCACCATCCTGTGATATGGGTGTTATAATTTTTCTGCTCTAGAGATAAAAAATAAGGTTGTGTAATTTGACCATTTTCCTTAACTAGAACATGAAAGAAGAGTAAAGAAAAATGGACAGGAAACCTGAAGGGCCCAGGAATCTTGTTGAGGTTCATTGACCTCATCTTCAGCCCCAAAGGTACTCACTACAATTGTACATTCGGTTCAGCCTCTCCAAATCAATAGTACTGAAATCCAGTCGCTGCCCAATGATAGAGTTAAACTCAGGGATCTTGGCCGTGATAGTAGGGACACTTTCATTCTTGTTAAATGAGAAAGGTGCATAGTGCATCAAAGACTCGTAATCATAGGGCGTGTTGAGGTCTGTGATGAAGTTGTCATCATAGGTGTTAAAGTTGTGCTCGAAACCTGTCAGGAAGAGAACCCACAGATCCTAATAAGTCATATTGTTTTCCCATTCTACCTTCTTTGACTAGATACTCAAGCAGAGACCAAAAAAAAAAGCATATCTATACATATTTTAACATTTTATAATTAGCATAATGAATAAAACTAATGCATATTATTAATTAATATTAACTAATTATATTAACATATAATAGTATATAAATTATAATAAATATTGAAATACATGTTATAATTAATATATACATATTATAGATTATTGAATATATGCACATATTTAAGTCAAAGGTTCTTTTTATAAATAAATAAACATGTATGTATGTATATGTATCAGGGTTTAAGAAAGAGAAGATAAAATATCAAAGTGGAAGCAGGTATTCCTGATAGCAGGAAACAGAATCTCTGAATTCAGGAAAATACTCAGAATTGACACATCTTGGTAATAATAGCCAAGTGCCTCATCTACGTAGATCTGTACTTGGCCAACTCTCCCACAGGTTAGGAAAAGGGAATTTGAGGGGTCGGGGGAAAGGTAAGCAGCTGGCAAGAAAGGGGCATCCTGTCAACCAAGGCTCACATCCTTCTGGTCCAGAAATAGCCTCGTGGATAGAAAAATAAAACAAGAAGGAAAAATAATTTTCTTTCAAAAGAAAAAAGAAAAACTTTTTATGAGATGAGCCCAAGTAAGATAATATGGACTATACTCTGAAAAGCTGAAATGAGAAACCAATCAGATGTTCTTTTAATCCACTAGCCATCAGGAATATTTACTGTTTCAGCTATAGATTTTTTTATTGCCTTCTTAGGGAGTGACAGGAAAACTGAATGAGAATGCTCATAACTCTCCCAAACATAATTTCCCATCTTCATGTTCTCATTTCCCAGCATCCCATCCAGTTGCTTTTAACAGTTAGAGAGAAGAAAATGTAACCATCTAACACATCCACATTTAGGGCTGAAGAATGTGGCGCAGCCTGGGGGGTGTTCCTGCAGGTGCCGGTGGGAGTCTCCAGATGCTTTGGGAAAAGCAAATGAACCCCTTTGATCAAGACCTTGTTTTAAGCATAAAACGAGAATACTGATGTTTCATCCTCCCAACTCACAAGGATTTTACGGGGACTTAACTTGAGAGGGATCAAAGCATTTTCAAAGGTGAGACAGAACTGCAAGGAATAAATGACCCAATCAGGGAAGAAGGAAATTAACTTCTTCCAGTGCTCTTGGTCCTAGGATGTCAGCTGATGAGGTAGAATTGTAAAGAGCATTGAGGTGGTGTAAGGACTGGGGACTGCGTCTGGGATCTCCTGGTGACTCTTGGTGGCATCTTAAGCAAAGGCACTTAAGCAAGGGTATGGTTTCCTTCACTGTCAATAAAATCATCAGGTTAGAATAGATCATTTTATTCTTAATTCAAGGATTCCTATCATCAGAATACTTTACCAAATATTTGTTTAGAATAATTTAAAAAAATGTATTTAACATATTCTGTCATGTCCACTATCTGCTAGATAATGGCCCCAGACAGTGAACAGGACAGGGGTAGCCCTTCTTCAACAAACTCAAGAGCTGGAAGCCTTAAAGAAGGAGTGATCTTGTAAAACAGGTTAGCCGGCAAACCTTTTGTGTAAACACTGAGATAGAAAATATTTCTGGCTTTGCAAGCCATATGGTCTCTGTAGCAACTCTGCCATTGTAGCACAAAAGCTGCCACAGACAATGTATAAACAAAAGGGGGTGGCTGTGTCCTCATAAATCTTCATTTATAAAAGCAAGTGGATATGGCCCATGGATTGTAGTTGGCAAACTCCTGCTAGACCTCAGAAGTTTTTGCCTTAATGGAAGAAGGAAAGAAAACTCATTCCAAGATGGGTTTGGGGGAGACAACTTCATTGCCAGTACAGTATCTCCTTCGGTTAAGTAATAAGGTTGTCATCAACTGAAGATGAGATGCAATAAAATTCATGAATTACCCTGAGCAATAACACTGCCCTTTTTTATGATCTCATTGGATTTGATATCTCACTTGAGAACAGTTCTTCAGTGATGGCAGGCAATTTTGATATATGGAAATATACTTGATGAAAATAGATAGGAGATGAGCAAACACGTGTTGAGTAATCTATGCTTAACCCAGAGTTGAGCAAGTCTGCAAATCATCCTGGCCAATGTGTCAGCTCCCAAACAAAGGGGTCTTGTTTGACCTAAAGCCATCTTAAAAGTGCTAAACGTTGTGTTCTTCAGGACTTAAAAATGGAATTGTTTTCTGCTTCATATAATTTACAGCTGTCAAGTTATGTAGGGAAAGGTAAGAAATTCAGGCTTCTAGGCAAATACAGACAAAGTCTAGTAGTGCCCAGAGTCTCACAAGCAGAGATTCGGTCCTTTGACCTATGACTCCCACTTTCCTTTCCTCTCTACACAGACCCAGTTATATAACATCGGGGGTGCCAAAAAAAGTATACACATTTTGAGAGATGTTATCTATGTATTACTTTTTGAAGTTGATTTATGTAGCAATGTGTAGAACGACGTTCACTCAAAAGATGGTGTTAATCAAAAGAACACTAGTGTCATTCATTGTATTACAATTTTAATACAGGTTTTTCCTTTGTTAAAATGTGCATACATTTTTTTGGCACCCTTTGTACACTTACCTTGAGAGACAAATATATAAAATTTCATGTTATTTCATATCCAGGTGAATACTCTCTAATTCTTCTCTAGATTGAACTGGGAGGCAGAGAAGAATATCACTTGGCCTCTAGCTCAGTGGTTGGGTGGTAGGATGGGTAGAAGTGTGTGTGGGGTCCAACCCTGGGAACATAGTAGGCTTTTACAAATTACATGGTTTCCTTCCTTCCACCAGCACTCCACATTCACAGAAATATCAGAATATGAGGTACTAAGAGGGACACTGATTGAGAAACCCTCGTAGGTGACTTTGATATGATTAGCCATCCTACATAGTCCTACCCCATGTGAGAACCATTGATCCACCTTACTCCAAAATAAGTTAGTTCTGGCAGAAGTCTTTTGGAGATTCATATTTAATTTTAAAGTATGGCCAGCTCTTCCAAGTCCCTTAAAGTAAAATTCTTAGAGATGCATTTCAATATATGAACTCAGATATGAAATTGGGATCTAAAAATACAGATAATTACAAGGCAATTATTTGCTTCATGAAAACCATGTGTGATAATAGTAAAGACATTTCTAATACATTAAACTTTCATTAATCTATCACTGCCAAAAATAATGCCTTCTACTCCTCGAATTAATTTTTAATGAAAAACTAGGTGTTTTCAGAAACACAGCATTGACTTTTTCCCCCAACACATTGAGAAACTGCTCAATAAATTATGTTTTACTCAGAAGCACTGTACTTAGTTGTCTCAAACAATTAAGAAAAGTAGTGTCTAAGGAAGTCTAACAAAATTAAAGAACACTGAAATTGTTAGAATAACATAACTGCATGGTAATATGTGGAATAAAACTGTGTTATCCATTGTATAGTATGGACTGGGGGCAGAAGAAGAGTGGTTCTTAGAAAAGAGAAAGAAAAGACCAATACATTTTGATTAACTAGAACTCAGGCTATTAGCCAGAATGAACGGACTTGGGGGTACAATGTCAGAGAAAAGTATTCATTGTTGTTGATATTTTGTTTTGTTTTCAAACACCTCTCATTGATTAGGCAAAGCACCAACAGAAATCTTGAGTATGCCATAGAGTCATCATATATTCAACTAAACCTCTAGAGCTACATGAGATTTTACATCCAGAAAATTGACCCTGACACCCTCAGAGACCCAAATCACTTTACTCACTAAGAGGAAAATAGACACCGTTTTAGATACATTTCCAACAAAAACACTGAAACTAAAAAAAAAGGCTTCTGATTAACTTTCAATGAATTCCCATTTAAAATTATCCAACATACACTATTCCCTGTGACCCTTGTCTGGGATAAGACCCGCACAGTCCACATGACAAGTAATCATATCTTTGCCCTCTTTATAGTTTATATTCCTACTGGAGAATCTGAAGTACCTGTCCACACATAAATTGGGCTTGATTGTCCCAGGGTCGGTCTCAGCAAGTGATAAAGATAATAGCACATTCCATCCATCCACCTTGGGTTTATTTATACACACCTGGAAGAATTTCATCCCACCAGATTTTCACGTAATCATCCCGGTCTGTCCTTGACTGCTCATGGTAAAATCCCAAAGCATGCAGGATCTCGTGTTGGATGATGGCCTTATAGTCACACCCCGGGCCAATGGAAAGATTCTGTCCTTTGTGTTGGTCGCCAACCTCCGACCAGCACCTTTAGAGAGGAGAAGAGGGACATTTTCTCCTAGAGAATTTTTTTTTTTTTTTTTAGCTGGGCCATCCTGCCACTTGTTGGCAGCTCAGCTTGGGCCCATGTGGGAACTGAACCAGCAACCCTGTTGCTCAGCGCTCACACTCTTGAGTGAGCTCTTAACCAACTGAGCCACTCAGCCATCCCTAGAAAATTCTTAAGTGGCTATAATTCATTGGATTTCAGAACACAAATTTGAAAGAAGGTAGGTTTCATTTTAAAAAGAAATGATCAATTGCGCTCTCATGTGTTGATGGTTCAATGATAGGAGACTGGTTAAATAAGAAACATTTCCCTGGAGGGTGTTATGCAGGCTTTAAAAATGATAGCCCATTATAAAAGTGGCAAATTAATCCTAATAACACATCGGGTAGAGAGAAGTAAAATCAGGCATTCTTCTTCACCTGTACAAACACATAGGACATTCCAAAGAATAACACTATTGCTTTTATACCAAAACATTGTCTCTGAGTGGTGGCTGTGGTTGATTTAAATTTTCTCCTTTATACTCTAATGAATTTCCAAATTTTGTATAGAGTGCAGGTGTAAATTTTATGAACATGAGAAAGAGCCTCATTAGTGACAGCACAGACCATGTCTAACATTTCTGAAGGGCTCCAGATAAGGTGGACCCATAACTTCCCTTAGACAACAGTGGTCTCCGAAACAGCCAGCAGACACTCTAAATGTCTCAGGATGCAGCCTTCTGCCTTCTTTTTCCCAATTATTTTTGTCTTTCCTCATAAATCTGATTTTCTACCTCTATTAGCAAACCTGAAGCTATCCACAAATTGACTCCTTCTCTGCTTTAAGCTGTGGAGCAAGAACCTATAACAATTGCTCAACAGAAAATAGATTTGCCAATGGTTTTAAACGCTGCCACAAGATTACAAGTTTCTTGGTTTCCCAAGATTGCTAGCATCATATACCTTCAAATGCCAATGAATTTGATCTCTAGTCAAAGATGGATCTTAATTGTATTCTAACAAGTTTATTAAGGTATAATTTCCATACCATAAAATTCATCAATTTTAAGTATACAATTCGATGATCTTTAGTAAATTTACCAGGTAGTGCAAGCATCACCATGACCGAATTGCTTTTCTGACTGTAGAATTTCATGATCAAATCAGAGTTTTCTCTTCAAAATATCCAAAATCTAGAGGAAACATTTATTATATATCTCTCTTTTTTTTTCTCTAAACATCCTTTCTCCAACAGAAAGGTTTAAGTTGGAAAAATACCTTAATTTCACCACTCCATGAATCTTGACCTTGTTTTTCTGAAAAAGCCCTTAACTTCCAGCTTCAAAGGACCCTGAAGAATTTGAGGCACTTTGGGCCAGTTTCTTCCCCAGACTTTATCCTCCTTTTTTTCCCTCCCCTATCTTAAGTGTAACAGAGAAAACTCCTGATCACAAGCAATGAGTCCCCCAGATTCAGGCTTTACAGACAGTGTCCCTCAAAGCTGACTCAACCCCTCACCAGGTACCTGGGGACTGAGATACACACTGAAAAGAAACCAAGAAAATTTTACTGGGAAAAGGAGAACTTTTAGAAAGTGATCATTTTGACTTTTAAGAGAAGCAACTTTTTTCTCTTTAAAAAAAAAAATGATGCCAGAATGATAAAGAATGGAAATAAAAGTGTTAAGAAAGTGGATTCCCTCCCCCCCCCCCCCCCCCGAACATTTCAATGAATAATTAAAGGCTTTGGTACTTTCAGTAAGCTCAGAGGAGGTTGCCAAGAGACAAGATGAAGAAGTCAAAAGCAGAAAACCGTTAAAGTCTTGGCAAGGCCTGAGGTATACTTTAAATGTTTTCCCTTCTCATAGAAAGAAACTGTCCAAATTAGCATTGGTTATCTCCATTTATATGACCCACAAAAGCCTCAAACAATAAGCTACATGTCCAGAAACAAATTCACTTCCCCATCTCCCACAGCAGTTCTTCTGGAAATATCCCCAATCTCAGTGAGTGAAGGACCACCCACCAGTCATGCAAATCGAAAACCTTGATCATCCTTGATTCTCCTCTCTTCTTAAACCCTCACATCAACTAATCACTAGTTTCTGTAAGTCCATCTCTTTACATATTTCTGAAATCCATTCCCTCTTCTTTATTTCAACTGCCTCTTGTTTAGTGTAGGCCCCTTTCTTTCCTCTCCGGGGTATCATTTAATTGGTCTCTTGCCAGTCTTGCCCCACTTCAATTCTTTATTCACTGTTGCTAGAGTAATCTAGAAAGATGACTAAAATGGAAAATTGAGCATATTTCTACGTAAGAGTGGATTCCTTTATACGTAGCTCACTATTTCCAGGCTTCTGTTTATCTTCCTGGCTCCATTCCTCACCACTCTGCCCCTTACAAGTAAAGCTTCAGACATCCTGAACTTAATGAGTTCTCCAAGTAAGCCAGATTTCTATTTATGTTTGCTCTCTTGTTTTCTTCCTTCTTTTTCTCTCTTCTCCTTCTTCTCCCTTCCCCCTTTCTCTCACTCTCACTCTCTTCCCATCCCCCATATTCCTGCCTCTCCTCTTCCTCTATATCCTCCTTCTTCCTTCATCTCTCTAACCCTTAGCTTGGCTCCCCCGATGCTTCACCTCCCGCTATGTGAGAGGTCCTGCTTAGGTCTTCCTATAGCCCACGGTGCTCACCAAAGCATATTAGAATGATTTACCTGTTGTTTTTCACCATCCCCACCTGCCAACTGTAAACCTTGTGAGGTCTAAGGCTGTGTCTCATACTTCTTTGTACCTACAAACTAGCATACTTCCTGGTATTCCTGGTACATAATAGGTGTTCTCTCTCTCTCTCTCTCTCTCTTAAATAAAAGAATGATCTAAGTAAATACTCAGGTTAAATAAGGTACTTAATATATACCTATGTAGTCATAATTTTACTTTTTTTACTGTTATTTTTTGCATGCTTTTTTCTTAAGAGGCAAAATCATGTGCTAACTTCTTCATCTCTGTTATCCATCCATGATTAATTAAAATTCCATCAACCAAATCCGGGCAACACCCAAGGGCAGTGATGGGAACTGCAGCTGAGTTAATAGCTCCAGGCTGGGGTTAAAGACAGAGTCACAGCAGATGGTAGGTTTGCTCCCCAGCCTCGTCTAGCCAAGGTTGATTGACATAACCACAAGAAAAGAAAATGGGCTTTTTTCTTAATATACCTGTTCTTTTTTCTTAGAAATAAATAACTATGAAGAGTAAATTTATATCTAGAACTTTTCAAAGAGGTTCAGCCAACAGAGTACCATAATTTTAAACAGTAACATAAATAGGGTGTGATTTATACTTTAATAAATTCGACTTTAAGAAGTACTATAATTTAACACATAACCTAAACCTAGGAAAGAAATGAAGATAAATCTCCCTGGGGCCCAGAGGTATTCAAACAGCTCATTCTCTGCATAATATGTTAAAAATGTTATGTAATTTAAAAATTTACAGTGAAAGTTTTGATTTTGCTTTTAATTTCTTTCCATTTTTTTCTTTTAGCCCTTAAAGGAGATATGTCACTTTTTATAAACCAAAGGATGGATGATTTTCACACTATTAAAATTTCATACTTACCCATCAAACTGCTGAAAGATGATATATGTGCTCTCTCCTTCATAGGGCTTGAAATCCACACAGGACTTGAGACGGAACATTTCAAAGGCATAGAGAATGGCTCCTTTGGCATTCAGCTCTGCAGAAATGAGTGAAAATATCAATTAGTATTATTTAGATCTTGGATAATGTATATAACATAGTTTAGAGAAAATCATGCCACCACATGAAATCCACAAAAGTCCATTATAGGGTTTGTTTGTTTTTTAATAGTAAATAGATTCCTTGAAAACTAAAACTGAAAAATTATTTGTGGACATAACCATCAAGGACATACTTTAAAGGCATAATGTAAATAAAACTTTAAGAACGCACATATGTACAATATGTGTACGTGGCTAAATGAAGTCATAAAAGAAGTTTCCACTTTCTCTTTTTCCTGTCTCCTCATTCAAGCAGAGATTCTTTGCGCATTGCCTCAGGAGAGTCACATGGTTCTCTGTCACATGGATGAATGGATAAAGTACCTTGGAAGGAAGCAATGAGAATGGTATTCCTTAACCCAGTCTAAAAAGATATCCCTTCTTGCTGGAGAAAGAAGCAGTGTAGAGAGGTTTGTAGATTCTGAAAGCATAAGTACAGATGGTATTTTGCAAGACCCCTGGAGAGACGGTAAGACTAGACAGGCAGCACTGCAGACAGCCTTAGAAAAGATTGCTGTAACCCAAATTTGGAACCAAAGCAGCAGAAGCCTAATCGACCTGAAGGGACAAGAACAATAGATGCCTACTAGTAAACTGTGTGAACCTACGACCAAAGATCAAATGTCTTTTCTGTCACTTAACATGCTCACACTTTGGTGTTGTGTAATACAAAGATGGGGTGGAGATGAAAGAGGCTCTAGAGGAATGGAGATTATGTTTCAGTTTGTATGTGTGGTTTGTCTCTCCCATCAACTCATTGAAGGTATGTCTCTAAGTTAAAAATAAAGCTGTCATATAAAATTAAATTATATTTCTTGCACAATTGGTTTTATGCATTCTCTCAAAGCATTCGTAATTCTTGGGAGTTTATCAAGTACTTATTTCACATTATTCTGGCCCTTATTTCATTTAATAAACTACCAAGTTGGAGATTCCACAGTTTATATGTCATAAGATCATATCAAGGTCATTAAACAAATGCTCATTGGAATAGTCAGTGAATGAATTGTGAAAGCAACATAGATAACAAGACAGCTTGGTTTTCACAAAAGGGTAAGGGAAAAAGTTTGATTTTACTAAAGTCATGCTGTCTATAAGGTTATGTTGCTTTAGTTCTCCTCCAGCCAAATAGTGGGAGAGATAAGAGTGGTTAATTTCAAAAATCACATCATTTCTGACTTCCATATATCTGAATAAGTTGTACAAAGGGAATGAAGCAATTCTGCCATAATTTTGTAAACACCGTCCCAACATCATTGAAAAGAAAAAAGAAATGGAATTAAACCCCACTTGAAGCCTCTTTCTTCACCATGAAACCAGCCCTGAGTATGCCTCCTCTGAAAGTCACACTTCTATTTTGTGTGTTGTCTTTATGTAAGTGGCCTGCTCCTCTTAGGATACCGTTAGCTCCTTGCCAGGAAGGAGCTTATCTTTTGCCTCGGTGCTTCACTGTGCCATGACATAGTAAGTTATACATAGTTCTGTCTTAAACAATCATGTTCATTTTGAAAACCACTAGCCCTCCTTAACCCCGGATCAACTAATATGAGAAGAGTTAACTTCAGACACCGATGAATCTGTATATGAAAGGATAAGTACAGGAAGGCTAATTATGTTTAGTTTAAGAATCTTTCGACAGAGTTTTTGATGTGGTAATGCTGGAGGAGCTGGAATCTGGCTAACCCTCTCTCTCTGATAACAATTATAAAATTTGGGGGAGGGGAATTAAGAAAAGAAATGCTTTGAATGCACTGGAAAATCTCTAAAACAGGCAGAAACTATGGGAGAGTTTATTCTTGAAAGGAGAAAATGTCATTGGTTAACATTTACATTTATACAGCTTTTTGCATGAGGGCATACCCCAATTCTTTGAGTGCAAGGAAAAGAGAACTCAAGCATAAATTTGCAGTTGTATTTTTTTGACATATCACAGAGAAGAGTTTGGGATTGCCTGAGTGGCTGAAAATCAAGGGAGGAAATTCTGGAAAAGAAAGAGCAATGATTGATTGTGTGGAGGGGGATGGGAGTGGGGAGCTGGTGGTTCAAAAATCTGTATATAAACACATTTCCAAATCTTTGTCTGACCCATGAACCTTACATGAATTGGAGAAGTCTCCAAGGAGCTTAGTGGAATGTAGCAGGTGGGTTGCTGATTAAATTAAACAGCTATCTCAGCTGCTTCCCCCATAGTGGAGAGAGAATTTAGAGTTTGATTCTTGCCAATTAGAGAGGCTGGGAAAACTTTTGGGCACTCTATTGAAAATCTGAAGAGGTCACATCTTCAGAGTAAAAGACTATGTTCCAGCACAAAGGGATTTGCTTTGAACTAAGGACAAAATCAAAACAAAACATTCACAAATCCAAGATGATCAGTCAGTAATTTACTGCTCTAACACAAATTAACACTATTCAGAAGAGAATAACAGAATGCAGAATCTCTAAAATATAACATTTACAATGTCTAATATACAACCAACACCAACAATCACCTTGACCTATTTAACGTTGATGGAAGAGTGTGCCCCAAAACTGCAGAATACAAGTTCTTTCAACTGCACACACAACATTCAAGATAGACCATAAGTTAGACCACAAAACATGTCTCAGTAAACTTAAAGAGATTGAATTCTAATAGAATATGTTCTGACTTCAACAAAAACTTAAAATTAATAATAGACTATCTAGAAGAGCTCCAAATACTTGGAAACTTAGAAACATATTTCTAATTGACCTATGGATTTTTTCAAATCACAACAGAAATTAGAAAATATCTCAAATAAATTTTAATACAGATACAATATATCAAAATTTGTGGAAAGCAGTAAAACCAGTGCTTTCTAATATAGCTTTAGATGCCATATTATAGCATTATATTATGTTAGCAAAAAGTGAAGATTTAAAATCAATGATATATATTTCCACCTTAAATATAAAAAAAGAAGAGCAAATTAAACCTGACATATGTAGAAGAAAGGAAATAATAAAGAACAGAAAACAACAACAGACAAAGCAGAGAAGCAAGAGAAAATTAGCAAATCAAAAGCTGGTCCTTAGAAAACATTAATAAAATCAATACATTGCTTTTAAAAAAGGCAAGTCACAGACTGGAGAAAATATTCATTGTATAAATATATATATATATATATATATATATGTGTGTGTGTGTGTGTATATGTGTGTGTGACAAAGGACTTTAATGTATAAAGCTCTACAAATAATGAAAACACAAATAATACAATAAAAAAATCATGAAAGAGTTGAATAGAAACTTCATATGAGAACACACAAATGGCCAGTAGCATATGAAAATGTGCTAAATATCATTAGTCATTAGGAAAACACAAACTAAAATCACAGTGACATACCATTTTTCAACCACTAGAATGGCTAAAATCAAAAAGATTAACACCACCAATGTTAGTGAGAAAGTGGAACCAATGTGAGAAAGTGGAACCAATGTGACATGTTGTTAGTGAGAAAAATGGCACAGCCACTTTGGAAAATTGTTTGGAATTGTCTTATCAAGTTAAACATACATTTACTATATGATCAAGCAATTCTATTCCTAAACATTTATCCAAGATAAATAATAATTTTAAAAAACCATATATCCACACAGACTTGTACAAGAATGATCATAGCAGCTTTCTTCATAACAGCTCAAACTTAAAACAACCCAATGTCGATCCACAGGAAAATGGATAAACAGTTGCAACATAGTCATACAAAGGAATATTATCAAGTAGTAAAAAAAGAATTAACTACTGACCCACAGCAATATGGAAAAACTTTAAACCCTCATGTTAAGCAAAAGAAGCCAGATATAAAAGAGGACATACTGTGTCATTCCATTGATCTGTAAATCAGTTGTAAATCAGGTCAACTAGTCTATAGATAAAAAAATTAGGATGGTAACCGTCTGTCTCTTGGGGAGTGGGGATGGAGATTGACTGGCAACAAGCATATGGAACTTTCTCGAATGACGGAAGTGTGTGTTACATAAGCTTATGCATTTATCAAAATCCATTGACCTGTACACCGATTTGTGTATTTCACTCTATGTAAGTGTAATAAAGGAATTATATACAAATACTGAACTCTAATTAGTATGATTACTTTTCACAATGGTATGGGCCCAGGTATCTGAACTTTTTTGAACTCAAAAGTTGATTCTCATGTAGTGTTGCTGAAGAACTACCACTGTATTTTTACTATTGCTACTTTATTTCAGGCCACCTGTCTTCATTCTTGCTCTCCATTCATCTGTCACCTACATTGCAGCTAAACAGACATTGCTACTCAAGGTGTGGCCAGGAGACCAACAACAGCCTCACCTGGGGGAGTGTTAGACACACTGAGTCTCAGGCCCCACCCCTGACAAGCTCCACAGGGAACCCTTACGCACATGAAAGTCTGAGGAGCACTACCTTACACCTCACAGAGTCATGGTGAAGGGTGAAGTGAAAGCAGCAGTGCCTGGCACATAACAGAGATTCAGTAAGTATGTCTATGTGCATAGGTGTGACAAAAAGGAAGAAAAACTGTCATGGGAAAAAAAAAAACACCTTTTAAAGTTAATGTTTCTTAAATCACATTCCAATAAATGTGAGTGCTCCATGAATTTGCAAGTGTACTAGCAAAAAAAAAAAAAAAAAAAAAAGGTGGAAAGCAAATCAGCTCAATTTCCCATAAAATAACTGAAAACAACAGCGTTTGTTTATATCCAGCCCTTTTCTGGAAAAGGGATTGGAGACGGCACTCATAACACTGATGGGAAAAACCGAAACATCATCTAGACCCCCTGAGAGGAAGCGGCCGAGCAGTCCACTAAGGCTGAGCAGCCTTGTCCTGGCTTCTCCCCTCTTACCTTCCTCTGTCTCCCCTCGGGCCTCCCAGGCATTGCAGCATTGTGGCCGCTCAGCCATCAGTCAGCTGCTGGAGGTCAGCCAGTGTCCACACGTGGCTTCTAACATTCATTTATTCCCACCAAGTATTATTTCCAACAATGAATGAAATATAACTTAGCCCTTTATCTTACGAGAGAAAAAGAACAGAATTTATTAATACTGAAGGACAAGAGCTAGGACCATGTGAAATATAGACTTTTCTGTTTGTCAGAAATGCGGTAGGTCTGTCTTATCACAAAAAGGGAAGATCAATATGCTGAAAATAGTATACTGAAAATATATCCTCCTGCTCCATGTAGCTTTACCTAAGCAAACTATTATTTCAAGAGCACATGTTTCATGGCTATGCTGCCAAATTGCATTTCATTGTGCTTTTGTTCTTTATAACGCGTCTGGTCTTATTAACAGGTTAACGTGTTCTGCCTTTTTAAAATGATGATTTGATACTCTGTGTCTCAGGTGGGTGAAGCAGCACTGGTTTTGATGTAATGTCATGCCTGTCAGCTCCGGGGACAAAGAATCATCAGGACTTGCAAATCATCTTATACCTTGATGGTAACTCCCAGTCTGAAGCCAATGAACAGGAGACGCAGGAGGGAGAAGAGTTCAACCCAAAGCTCCTAATTAAGAACAATTAGTATTACCCAGATTGTCTGCCAGAATGTAAGGAATGGGGAACTTCCACATGGCATTGGGGTCTCTCAGGCCATTTCTGGAATTCTGTGAAAACAAAGCAGAGATACCTAGAAAGCCTAGTCCTCCAAGTCTCCTTGGCCTCCTCTTTCACTAAACTGTCACGCCACAAATCATCTGTCACATAGTTCAACAACTTAGTAGCATTCGTCTTCTGGTTATAAAGCGATAACGTATTATTGACAATTTGGGAAATTCAGATAAACTCTTAAGAATAAATAAATAAGACTTGCAATTCCCCCAAAACGGAAGTAGCCACTTTAAACACGTGGGTGCATGGTCTTCTCTCATTCTTCACTTATTAGGAAATTGGGTGGACAAGCAATTTAATAATTATAGTCTTTTGTCCTGTTTGCTAATTTTTTTTTAATGTTTTCGTTACTACCAACCCCAATGGAAGTCCTTGTGAGTACAGATTACAGGTTAGATTTTTTCATCTCCTCCCCCATGCCCATCCAGGGCTCAGCACAGCAGAGGCTCGCGATCATATGTCACAGCCAGTTCTGAGGGACATGATGTGTCATTGGCGGTACTCACCTGCAGGAGGATGTCCCCTTGAAAGAGGTCCAACCCTGCAGCTAGAGGTAGATTTTGAAAAAGAAAGATTTAAATGAGCATTACTAAAAGGCATCTCTCATAGCAAAATTAATCTTTTCCATTGTGAATCTTTCATTGTTCATCTTTCTGTGGTGAAACTCATTCTGAAACAATGCAAACATTCCTTCTAATTGGGCTGGTGTAAATTGCCAATAAAATATATATTGTCACATCTTCTGTTTTCATTTTTGGAACAAGAAACTTTGTCCAAGAATTAGAAAGGTAAGAGATAAGTTAGACCTTCTTGACTATTGACTCTGAACCTCTCATATTTCCGGGGGTAAAATGGAGTCCTGAGACAGGAAGTGACGTACAAGGTGGTCAGGGGCCACCTGAGCTTTAGGACTCCTGACTTCCCACCCAAGGCCCCGTCTGTTATTATACCATCTTTCTTTCTGACCCTAGGTAAATGGGTTGATGTTGCTCTTTGCCATGAAAAAACAATGGAACCTTCCAAAGCCAAGCAACTAATGTTGCCCCTACATCACCCTTTTCCTCATGTACACATTTCCTAAATTTTCTTAACCTCCATCACCCCATCCTATGTATGTGATAGCCGCACAATTAACAAGAGATGGCAGTGACACCACTGCCCCACCACCAGTAGGATCCAAGTTTTGAATTTCCTTTTCAGTAGAGGTACTACACGCTGGTCTGTTCTTCCTCTCTCCTAGGCTCGTCATGAACAAAAGTATGTGTTTCCTGACACCTGGCCCGGACTAGGAGAGGGCTCTTTCAGAGTGGTATGAACAAGCCCACTCAGACCTTGGCCCCAGGGGTTGGTCAGCACAGAAGGTCACAGAGGGGTGTGAGAGGAGCAACTAGAGGAGCACTTCCAAGGGAGTACATATCCATTGAAAGCAAGCCTCGATCAATTCACTACCCAGTTTGTTCAGGTAGCATACACTTACTTATGAAGTGCCTAAGGTGTCCTACGCATTGTTCCAGCTGCTAGGAGTGCAGCAGAGAATAAAGCAAAGTCCGCAGGGAAATGACATTCTTGATTGGGAAGGGAGGGGAAGACAAACAAATAAAGGTGGAGTATGGCAGATGGTGACAAGCACAATGAAAAAAAAAATAATAATAAAACAAAGTAAGGGGAAAAGAGTGCTGAGGTGGGGGAGGATTGATATTTTACAAAGGGTAGTGAGGGAAGGCCTCCCTAAGGAGGTAGGAGTTAAGCAGAAATCTGATGGAGGGAAAAGCGAAGGAAGAGTATTGAAGCCAAGGGCAACAGCAAACACAGAGGCCCTGAGGCAGGAAAGCCTGGGTGCCCTAGAGCAGTGCTTCCCAAATGTTAGCGTCAGATCTGGCAGGGCTTGTTAAACACACCCCCAGGGTTTCTGAGTCAGTCTGAGATGGGGCCTGAGAATTTTATTTCTTACAAGTTCCCTGGTGATGCTGACGCTTCTGGTGGATAGGGAACACACTGAGAATCACTTACTAAGCAGAGGTCAGGGTGACTAGAAAGCTTGAGTAAGTAAGGAGGAAAGCCATAAAAAAAAATGAGGTCAGAAAGCTGGCCAGGGTCAGATCATCTCAAACTTTCATGTGCATAGGAACCATCTGGGCTCTGTCAGAATGGAGATGCTGATTCTGTAGGTCTGGGTGGGGTCTGAAGATGCTGCATTTCTAAGAAAGCTTTGAGGTGGTACAGGTGATGGTGGCCCATGGACCACACTTTGTGAATCAAGGCTCCAGAACTTTCATTTTGTGCTGGGTGAGATGTCAGTCAACACTGGTCAGCCAATAAGTGGAGGATCAGAGAAGTGACATGGGCTGATTGACTCCATCAGGCGCAGCTGATCTCACAGATTCACTGCACACACAGATGCCGCTATGAAATACGTCTTTACGGTACTAAGTCACAAACACGACTGGCGATAGATTACGGTAGAGGGGGAAGATACGGAAGCGATGGGTCACGATACTTAAGTTAACTGTTAGATATTTGAAAATGTGAGTGCAATAAATCTGTGAGATCAGTTGCGCCCCACAGAGGGTTAAGAGAGCTCTGTCTACTGTGTGAAGAGTGGCTTGTGCAGGGCAAAGGCACAAAGGGAAGAGCAGTTCTGAGGCCACCACAAGAACCAGGCCAGAGATAAGGTGGCTTGGTCCCGGAAAGGAAAAGGGGAAGTGCTCCTGAAAAGTCACAACTCGTGATATAATTTGATGGTAGATCTAACAGCATTTGCTGACAGATGGTGTGTAAGATGTGAGAGAAAGTCAAGAGTTGGAGCAACTCTGAGGTCTGAGTGTAAAGGTCTAGAAGGAAGAAACTGCATTTACTGAAATGGAAAAGATGGAGAGGAGCAGATCTTGGGGTAGAAAAGGTTAAATCAGCATCATGAGGCATGGAGAGAAGACCGTAAAAAAGGTGACAATTTATATTATTTTCGCCAAACAATTTGTGACTCTGGCTATGTGGCTAACCCACTCAATCTTGATAGCTTGGTTGAAATGACCTAAAAAGAGAAAAGACCCTCATGGTAAAATTTCTTCATTGGAGTCACAGTTCAGATGTGGTGATGGATATGAAGATTAAGAAATGGTTATAAGGTAAAAGAATGTTTTTTACTACATAAATAAGGATGAGATTAGGAAAACTACTTTTAACCCCAACCTGTTAAGCATAGCAGACCCTCTCAATTACTGCATCTTGACGGCCTGACTCCAATGCAGCAGTTCTCAACCTTCCTAATGCCGCGACCCCTTAATACAGTTCCTCATGTTGTGGTGACCCCCAACCATAAAATTATTTTTGTTGCTACTCTATAACTGTAATTTTGCTACTGTTATGAATCGTAATGTAAGTATCTTTTTGTTTTCCAATGGTCGTAGGCGACCCCTGTGAAAGGGTCCTTCGACCCCCAAAGGGGTCGCAACCCACAGGTTGAGAACCGCTGCTCTAATAAGAGCTCATTTGATGCCTGATTCTAAAGCCTTGAAAGCCATTCCCCCATTCACCTCACCCTGCCCGTGCAGTCATTCCCAATCTTTTCCAATTAAATATCAGCTAGCCTGCCTCCCCCTGTAAATGGGACAAAGCAAGAGAAATTTAACCTTTAGGTATGGGTTTGTTTTAGTTTTATAGTCTTCACATAGCCCTGAGCTATGATTCAGAAGACCAGGAGGCGAGCCCCATCACTGCCATCTGTGATACTGGGCAAGTTGCCAAAACCACAACGAGCCTCCTGTCCCTTCCTGCAAAATGAAAATAGCGCTTACTGCACTACAGAATTGGACAAATAAATGTGCAATTAGATATGAAAGCTGTTGTAAACGTTAGGTGATTATGACCATGAATACCTGTTTCCCGTCAATCCTGACCGGAGACACCCAAAATGTAGAGGCTTCTCCCTTATTTTAGAAGCAAGACAAAAGAGCTAAAAGAGAGATAACTAAGCTCCTCCCTCCTCTGCATAATAGATGAGACCGATAGACTTCTTCAAGAAACGTGTTTGTGGACAAGATGTCGAAACGGAAACACCTTTGCACTCTTCTCTAAGTCCTGAGCAAACAGTTGTTAGTAAGTATGATGACCCTGTAGAGGGACTGGTTTTTTCCCCCTCTGTTAAATATAACCCTCGTAAAATTCTTTATATTCTTCTTTACCAAGTAGAATAATCATCCATTTTTCTTTCCTTTTTTTTTTCAAAATGGACACTGGCAAAATGAAACATTTATAAACAAAAATCTTGCTGTGTGTTTCTAGATCCATTAAGCATGCACTCGTTCTAGAAAATTTGGTCTATCCATCATTCTCTTTCCACATTTCCATTTTTCAGAAACTGCAAGTTCTGATGAAGCACCAATAAATATCTCTCCCTGACAATTTCCCCAATACCGTATCATGAAGGTGATAGCTTTTCAGCAATTCTATCACAGGATTTAAAATTACTTCACAGCATTAATAATTTAGAAAATGAACCCACCTAAATTGAGTTCTGAAATATCCTTCTGTTCTTCAAGATGTGCATCATGTACTGTTAAAAAAGTGGGGAAAACATTGTTACTAGTCTTGCTGAACAAAAGAGAGAAAGCTCAGAAAAACTCTTTATGCATTTCAATTGATCCTTACCATTTCCTTTAGAAAGATGCTTAATCTGAAAGAAAATAAATATACAGAAAATGGATAATGTATACTTGAATTAACATTTTTAAATACCCAGAAAAGCAGAACTCTACTTACCGATACAGCTGTTATGTGAGCAAACCAGATAAAGGAGAGAATGCAAGTAGATCTAGTCCAAGCCATTGTTGCAAGTGAACAGAATTTAGCAAAGACACCTTGTGATAAATGCCTCTTGGACCTTGACCTGGCTGTCATATTAGAAACTTTGACCCTTCCATATGTTTTATAGCACTAAAAAGAGTAGTCAGTAAAAATGTCATTGACCCTTTTGAGGACAAATACTAAGTTTAACATAAAAGCTCAAACTCCAGAGATGGGGGAAAAGTTTGAAAAAGTTAATATTAAGATAAGTATATCAAATCTATAACACTTCTATAGGCCAGCAATAACTGTTTATATAACAGATAAGAGATAAGTTTTACAATAGAAATAAAAATAGTCTACAAAATAATTTTTGAAGTACTTTAATTGAAAATGAATTTAGATTTTAATGAAAATATTTTAAAGCAATTATCAGAGAGCATAAAAAGTTTGTATCTACATCTCTATCTCTACACACACACACACTCATGGATGAGAAGGGGCATGTATGTTTACATACACTCCTACACTTGCACGCATGAGATATAAGGATCTTTGGTATCAGAGCAACCCTCAAAGTCTAAAGCCTGCATGTCAGTATAATAAAGACGGTGAATATTTTGATAGTAGTCTATAAACTCAATGTTATTCCAATACAAATCTTAACAAGGTCTTGTGGAATTTGACAGGCTGACAAACTTTCTGAAATTCACATGAAAGAGTAAACCTCCAAAAATAGATAAGAAAACTCTGAAAAGGGAGAACAAGAAGAAAGGAACTGCCCTAACAGTGTATCAATAATTTTTATAAAGTTATGGTAGAGAGTGTGATATTACCAAAACAGAAAAAACAGTGTGTCTATAGAATGGAATGGAGAATACTAAAAGAGATGCAAGCATAGATGGGGATTTTACATATCAGAGGAACCAAAAAAACAAAAGGGAAAATTTGGTCTTTTCAATAATGGTGTTGGGACAATAGCATTTATCTGTGATGAAAAATTAAATTCTGACACTATTCACAAAAATAAATTATGGAGGGATTAAAGATATAAATATCAAAATCAAAACTTTGAAAAAAGAAAATACAGGAAAATGCCTTTAACTTTGAGGTCAGAAAAATTGTTTAAATATGAAAAAAACACATAGAAATCATAATAAATTTGACTATATCAATTTAAACTTTTTATGACAAAAAACACAACAACATAGTTAAAAGACTAGCCACAAATGGAAGAAGATATTGATCCTGCATATACTTGAATACGAGTAAGTTATCCAGGAATATAAAGAAATTTCTACAAATCAATAAGAAAAAAGAAAGAGAGATGGTTTAAGAGAAAAATAGGGGAGGGGGAAATGTGAACACGAAACACACAAAAACCCAAATGACCAATAAACACAAGTAATCTGACAAGCATTCAGAAAACCTCACAAGTAATCAGAAAAGTATCTATTAAAATCACAATGAAATAACAATGAAACAACCTCAAGCTCACATTGGTGTAAGTGAAGAAAGCTGACGATACCAAATGTTGACAAAGAACATGAGGAAACAGGAAATCGTATACACCGTGGTGGGACACAATTCAATGCTACCTAATAAATTGAAATATGCATAGTGTATAAGCTAGAAATTTCCCCCACTAAGTATATACCCTAAAGGAATTTACACGTATGTACACAAAATACCACATATTTATTGTGGTATTTTTTTGTAATAGTAAAGAACTGGAAAATGTATTTACACTAAAAGAAAAAAAATATGGAGTATATTCAGTCATGTGCAGATGAGTGTTTAACATCCAGCTCTCTGAAAACAAAGAAACAAAACAGCCCTCATTTGTAGTGTTTGCTGATTTCTGGGGTGTGAATACTCCCATCATGGTCAATTTGAAGCTCCCGAACACTGTGTCACTGAATGTAGTGTTGGGAAGAGGTGCGCATCTTGGGTTCTACCTGCCCCGGCACAGGACTGCATATATTTACATACCCTCCTACTCATGCATGAGGTATAAGAATCTTGGGTATCAGGGCAATCCTCAATCAGGTCTAGAGCCTGCGTGTCTCACCTCAGACTTACTAGTGGAGCAGGTGGGCCAATTTTGCTATCAGAGGAGCACTTCCTGTCAGAAAAGTATTTCCAGAGGCACAGAGTGGGGCTTCCTGAGCTATCAAACAGGAGGCATGACAGCTGGGGACCAGCTCCTGGCGGGCACAGGAAGTCTATGACACACTTCCATTTTTCCACAGCCATTGTTGGGTGAGGTTGGAAAGAGGGTGTAGACAATGTGATATATAGGTGATGTAGTACAGAACTGTATGCTTGAAACCTATGTCACTTTACTAACTGTTGTCATCCCAATAAACTTTAATTAAAAATAAATAAATAAATAAATAAATAAATAAATAAATAAATAAATAAGAGGATGTAGAGAATCATCTCCCAGCCTCTCTAACCAATGGAAGCCACCAGTGTTTTCCAAGAGAATCTGAACTTGCTCAACAGCTAAAATGGCTTAGGTCAACAAATACAAGCTTTATGATTAAAAAATGGGTGGGGAGGGACTTGATAAACATCAACTTAATGAGAATAATTGGCTCTAAGTATCAGGGAGGAAAACACAGGAAAGTTTTATTTCTTACCTATGTAGTTTAAATTTTCTCAAATTCTGAAACAGTTATAACAAAAATCAATATTTGTTCATTCTGAAGGCCGGGAAGTAGGGGTTTAGGAATCTGTTATGTTATTTTCTAAAGAAAAGGGCAGTATCCTTGTGTGGGGGGTTCAGAACAGGTCAAGATATACCACTTTGGCATGTGAATGATTTTGAGCTGAAGGCAATCGAGACCCTGCAGACTCACAAGAAACTTTTACCTTTGCCTTAAAGAATTTGAATCAGCGGCCTTGCCCTAAAGAGATGATCAGAGATAATCATTTCTGACCTATCTACAGGGCAGGGCAAGCTACTAATTACTGAATATCTGTTCTTCTTACAGGCCCGCATTGACCCTCTGAGGCCCCCAGGTGCTTTCTTCATTCTCAGCTCAGGATATATTTATACCTAATTTTCTCTTTCCATCTTGGAACCTCCCATGTATATAAGGTCCTTGACTCCCACATATATGTGGAGTTCCCATGTGTACATACGTAATTAAATATGTTCTTTTCTCTTGTCAATCTGTATCATGTTGATTTAATTATTAGACCAGCTGAAAGAACCTAGGAGGGTGGCAGAATGTTTCTTTCTCCTCCATACTCGCATTGGTACTACCAAATCTCAGACATCAGTATTTCAAACAGGCAGCTGTAAGGCTTTTTCATTCTCTCCACTTTTCCCTGACTCCAGATGTGTTTGTAACTTTCCCTTCCTTCTAAAACTTATCTGGACAATATGCTATAACAAATGGCTTTGGAGTCAGATGGCAGGAATTTAAATCCCACCTCTACCATTCACTAGCTGTGGCATTTTAAGCATCTGCTCTCTATGTGTAAAATGGGTAATGGTGCCCACTTCATGAGGCTAATGTAAGGATTCAATGAGATAACCTATTTAAATCACAGGTACCAGCAACATAGGAAGCATTAACAAATGCTTAATAAACTATAGCTCTTTCTATCCACACACGCTGCCTCCTGGCAAGAGATAAGCAATAAGAACACAGAGCTCACTCAGCACACTCCTCACTTAGTGGGACCTCCGCTGCGCTGCCGGGAGCATAGGTCTTCAGCAGACACAACTTGCCCCAAGTGATTTTCTTTCACGGTCTTGATTACAGGTGTTAATTAGTTACCAGTTATTTGCAATCCTAGGCACTTCATGTCCCCTGATGTCAAATGAGTGAGGCTGGAGCCTTAAGTCCTAGGTTTGAAGGGTTTATGGCTTTGCAGATAAAGGGTAAATTACTCACACCCCACTGGGCAAGGTCCAAGTTTATTTTCTGTATCTGCCCAGGGCCGCTGGTCTTTCCCGGTGTGGAGAGGAATCAGGCAAGAGGCTTACTTTATTTTTTGCCAGTTCTCTTCCTACTTATTCAACCCTCATAGAGTACTTGCAGTCGAAGCTGATTCGGCCAATAGCTATACGATCACACACTGATTTCAGAAAAAGCCTCTAACCTCTGCTTATTACAAGAGTCATCACAGCCCAAGAGGCCAAATTAGACCCTGGAATCTGGGAACAAACACTGGGGGATTGTTGAGTAAAGAGAAGACGGAACTGAAATGGGCTTTTCCCTGAAAGGAAATGTGATTCTGAAGAGGAAGAGGTCTAATGGTTTTCTACAATCAAATGACAAAACCGAAGCAACTGAGTAATGAGTTTGATGTTCTTTATTCAAGGGAAAACAATCCATGGATTAGGGGTGAGCCATGACTCACAAGCAGTGGAGAACTCTCCCCAAGGGATTTTGGATAAAAACAAGTTTTATAGAGAGAAGCCGCAACACAGAACAGGCCATGACTGGCTGGGGTCATATATTTAATCTTATTTAGAAAGACGAAGGATCAAGGAAATAAGCACTGTATAGAGCTTGGAGTTGTCTTGGTGTCTGGGGGTTGTCCGACTAGGTAGACTTCCTTTCTCGTCAAGCGAAGCAATTACTAGATCATAAAAGTAGGGTTTGCTGATGTGGCACCCTGCCCAGGAGGGGCTCTATCTTGGGCCTAGAAGTTTATTTCAACACTACTGTCCCTGAAGTTAATTATACAAAGAAACAGGCTTAAATTGCAAAGGGACATTTCATTGTTAGAGAGAAAGACCTTCCTGGTCATCTGAAGATTCTTGGATCCTAAAGTGTTTCAAGGAGGGAGACAGTATTAGTCATAGAGAATAATGGCAAAGCTACAGTCTCGGTGAGGCAAGCATGGACACATAAAATCCTTCGGAAAGAGGTGGTATTGGACAAACAATGAGTATGATTTGGCTTGGGGATTTTTTTTTTTTGTCCTGGGAGAAGTCATTCAGTTTTGAGGTCATTTAATGGAAGCAAGATGACAGTAAGTCACAGATGTCACTTGATCCAGAGAACAAGAGGCTCAGCCTTCTTAGAAAACAAAAGGGAATTGTAATCTCTCTTCC